TGCTCGTTTCTTGACTTCGCTGTCTGTTGTGGTGTTCTTGCCAAAGGGAGATCAGTCTCACATGCTTTGCAGTTAGGTTCCAAACGCGCTTGTGCTTGGTGCATTTGTTCTGACCTTTACCCTGCTTGGATGTTCAGCCCAACCTGCCTGAATGTTGTCGGGGATCCGACCTGGGATTGTCAACTACGTTCTTCTCTGGGTTCGTCGATTTCCCGCCTCATTGGACTTGCCCTCTTGGATTTAGCCAGCCTTGCTTCTCGCTGTTTCACTATCTGTGGGTTGCGACTTGTTGCCTTGGCTGTCACTACTAAACCCGTTGACGCTGTCCCTTTTGGATTTCAGTGGGTGCCCACCGTGTCAGTCCTGTTTGACCTTGTTGCGTTCGCTGTCTGTTGGATTTTCTGCAGCTGCTGCTTGCTTTGTGCTTTCCTCTTTGCCTGCTTTGCAGTTGTTGAGTGCCTTAAGATAGCCCCCAAAAGGTCCCTTAAACCTCGCCCCTTTGGGAAACCTGTGCGCGCTGCCATGGTGATCTGGCTGCTCCTTAGCCCAGGAGCTGCTATGCATATGTCTCCGAAGTTTGCTGCAGAACACCAAAGGTTTCAGAGGCGAGAAGGCGTACAACTTTGTGCAATGCAAGCAATCAAACAGCAGACCCGGGAGCGCCGAGAGACCTATTCCACTTGGTCTTGGAATTGGCTGTGGGAGGAGAAACAGATACCTCTTCGATACCTCATTGAGCTGATGCCACCTGACCCAGAACGATTGGTTGAATCGCTGTTTGAGTACGGGAAGGAGTTTCACCGAGCTGGAAATGCTTATGGGGTCTGTGCTGAGACCAAAAGCTCCGTTGTCGTTGAGAGACCGCTGATCCGTCGTAAGCCGACCACTGCATGGGATCTGGCCTCCGCCTCGTTGCAGAACGAGCCTCGTCCTCACCATCCTGCGAGGTCTATCTCAAGCATAGCCGCGCATGTTATTGTCTCTCTATACTGGAAATGGGCGTATGAGGCCGCGATCATTTTGATGAGCTGGACGGGTGTCATTAGGATTGGTGAAGTTTTGGCGGCAGAACGCCGTGGTGTTGTGCTGCCAGTTGACTCTGCACCAGGAGCCTCCTTCATACTAATCGTGGTACGACAGCCGAAGACACGGGGGAAAGCTGCTCGTCACCAGGCTGCTAGGATTGACAAAGTATATGTCATCCGTTACTTTGCAGCAATGTATCAGAGCTTCCCTCCAGATGCTCCTTTTTGGCCTTCTTTAGCTATGACACTCAGAAAACAGTTTGTGCATCTGCTGACGGCGCTGCAGCTTCCTATGCCAAGGTGGGGAGGAAGCAGACCTTGTGATCTGGGGTTGTTGCGGCCTGAAGGAGCCATATGGATGCTCTTCCAAACAAAAAGCCCAGACTACGTTTGTAGACGTGGCCGTTGGCTCAGTGAGAAGGTCAATGAATTTCTCCTTCGAGGAGTCTTAGTGACTATGTATGTTGGAAGATTGAAGCCAAGGACGCGTGAGATGATTGACATGTGCTCCAGTGAGTTTGCCGAGATTATTGAAATCTCCTTCGGTCTCCTCAACTCGGCAATCCTCACTCGAGTTTGGTACAGTCCACTCAAAGGATCTGCAGATGTTCCATCAAAGAATGTCGAGAAAGTTGGAAGGAGTGGTGGAAATTCAGCCACGTGTTGCCACCATACAGCTGGCAGTGGCGTGATGCAACCTCCAATGGATAGCAAAAAGGCGCGAGGCGTGCTTCCTGATTTCAGGAACTCAACTTGTGGCTTGCTGCTCAAGCCTCCCACCGCTGCAGCACCCAACCCATAGCAGATCCTTGAGTGGTGGAAATTCAGCCACGTGTTGCCACCATACAGCTGGCAGTGGCGTGATGCAACCTCCAATGGATAGCAAAAAGGCGCGAGGCGTGCTTCCTATATAATGTATATATATATATCTATAATGTATACATATATATATATCTATATAATGTATACATATATATATATCTATATAATGTATACATATATATATCTATATAATGTATACACATATATATATATCTATATAATGTATACATATTTATATATATATATATCTATATAATGTATACATATATATATATCTATATAATGTATACATATATATATCTATATAATGTATACATATATATATCTATATAATGTATACATATATATATATCTATATAATGTATACATATATATATATCTATAATGTATACATATATATATATCTATATAATGTATATATATATATATCTATATAATGTATACATATATATATATCTATATAATGTATACATATATATATATCTATACAATGTATACATATATATATATATCTATAATGTATACATATGTATATATATATATCTATATAATGTATACATATATATATATCTATAATGTATACATAGATATATATATCTATATAATGTATACATATATATTTATATCTATATAATGTATACATATATATATATATATCTATATAATGTATACATATGTATATATATATATATCTATATAATGTATACATATATATATCTATATAATGTATATATATATATCTATATAATGTATACATATATATATCTATATAATGTATACATATATATATCTATAATGTATACATATATATATATATATCCATATAATGTATACATATATATATATCTATAATGTATACATATATATATCTATATAATGTATACATATATATATATATCTATATAATGTATACATATATATATATCTATATAATGTATACATATATATATATCTATATAATGTATACATATATATATATCTATATAATGTATACATATATATATATATCTATATAATGTATACATATATATATATCTATATAATGTATACATATATATATATCTATATAATGCTATATAATGTATACATATATATATATCTATATATATGTATACATATATATATATCTATATAATGTATACATATATATATATATATATATATATCTATATAATGTATACATATATATCTATATAATGTATATATATATCTATATAATGTATATATATATATCTATATAATGTATATATATATATCTATATAATGTATATATATATATATCTATATAATGTATATATATATATATCTATATAATGTATATATATATGTAATATAATGTATACATATATATATATCTATATAATGTATACATATATATATATATATCTATATAATGTATACATATATATATATATATATATCTATATAATGTATACATATATATATATCTATATAATGTATATATATATATCTATATATCCATTATATAATTGGTTTTGCTTGTCAGCTGCGTCCCGCCCTGAGGCCCTGGCCGTGGGCGTGGCGCGCCGCCTTCGAAGCCTTCGAAGTTCGCAGCGGTCACGGCGAGGGCGGTGGCGCTTCCAGCTGCGGGCTGAGGAGTGCGGTCCAAGAAATGGGGGATTTATCCAGATTCATCCAGAATTATACAGATTTAATGGATTTTGGATGGATTGGAAAATGATTGAAGCTTTCAATTGATTCTTCAAAGGATATTTAAATAGATTTTAATGGTCATTTTGAATGTGCATGCTAATGGCTAATGGGCTATCCCGGAAAATCCCTAAAATAGATCACTTGCACCAAAATCCAATGGTGTGGTGCTGAAAATTATTTCCCCACCAAGGTTGCCATACACGCCATTTTATCCATTTTTTGAGAAGCAACAGCTACTTCTAGCGACTCTTTGGTAGTCAAACATAGCCGAGAAATCCTGATTCAAGGCAGTCAGGTTAGATAAATGGAGGTTGGTTCCTGAAACTTGTATACGATCATTTCCGTGTGGGGCGTTTTGTTTCCCCAAATTTAAGAAAAATTGTGAAGCTGCACCAGCAGGACTGGTCGAAAGAGATGCAGCCGCGTGAGTCTCTGGGCTGAGCTTGATGGGTGAATTTCCCTCAGAGGTCGAGCTGTAATTTCTTGTCCAATTTCGTTTGCAGCTGTCCACCTTGAAATCAGATTGAAATCGATTTGATGCATTGAATTTTGTGGAACCTTGCCTTACTTTTGATCATTTTCCTGTGATAACAGTGATAACTATGGAGGCAGGAGTGTAGCGACGTCTCCTAGGAAAGCAGCAGGACAGTATTGGAATCAAACAGTTGAAACTGTTGAAACAGGTAGTTCTATTACATGTCACTATTTTGGGCTGACGGAATCAACATTTTTGGTCATGCTTTAACTATATATGGTACGTCTCTGTCATGCCACTGTTTAACCTCAGAATATGCCAATCCTTTCTGTGGTCAGGACTTGATCCCAGATTGTTGACAATTGTTGACCAAGGACTGGAGCCCTAGAAGCTTAACTGCAACGCTAGAAAGGTTGGGTTGAACTACATCCAGCTGTTGGGAAAACTCGGATTGAAGACTTCCAGTTCCACTGATTTTTGGAAATGATTTCATTGGAATTCAGTTGCCATGCAGCAACGCTACCGTTGTTCCTCAATGTCAATCCGGGCGTCCAATTTTTCTGGGCATATTCATGATGTGTCAATGCCTCATTTTGAATGCATTTGGTGGACTTATCATCACCTCTGATGCCTCTGAAATATATAACCTCCCCACCATGGCTAGGGGTTGGTCATGTCCCATTTGGTGATTTCAAGCACCACCAAGATGATGGTTGGCAGCGATTCCCCTCATAGGCTATTGGGATATCTGCTGCACCAAATACTTCCGGTTACGCTTGAGATTTGGTGGTCTGCAAATCCTGGGTACTCGAAAGCGCCAAGATTTCTGGTGGTGAAGTTTTTGAAGTCTCCTTTCCGCCCCCCAAACATTCACATGCCAAAAAGCTTCCATGCCAAATCAACCCCAAAGTTTCATATCTCAACATGTTTCCAGATTTTTCCATACATCAACATTTTTCAACTGTTTTTCAAGATTCCAACCCATCTTTTTCCCTTATTTTTCCATGTCGCAGCACCCAGGGTTTTGCAGCACCCAGGTCTCGGTGTCGGAGCTGCCGAAGGTCGAGGCCCTGGGCATCGAGCTGCGTCAGACCTCGGGCTACGCGGCGCCGGTGAACGTGCAGACGGGCGAACTCGTCCGCCGCGCGGTCCAGAAGCGGTTGGGAAGATGGTGGGAGAAATGGATCTACCCTCTGGTAAACTAACATCACTATTGAAATTGACCATTTATAGTGGATTTTCCCATTGAAAATGGTGATTTTCCATAGTTATGTTAGTTTACCAGAGGGTAGAATTGCCATTGGGAAAATCATGGGTTTGTTTGGAGACTTGAATGGGGAGTTTTTGGAGGGAAAATCATGGGGATGGATCGCTGTTCATTTGGAATGGAATCTGAATGTTTCCAAATTGTTTGGGATAGACATGGGATAGATCATGATATTTGCATTTAGCGGCCAGTATTGATGGTGGCTAGAAATCGGAGAGAAATCGCATTTGATGGGTTTTAATAGTTTCGTGCGTATTCTTAATAGCAATTTCGCCGCAGGGGAAGCCGATGGGGATACGTTCGTTTTGATAGTAAATGACCAGGAATGGGGACATAACATGATATAGATCCCTATTAGATCCCTCAATATTGCAATTTTGATGGCAATAGGTATGGCTCAAAATGACAGTTAAAAATAACATGGATGGTTAAACTAATCTGTGGGTTTATGGTTTGAGACATGTTGAGACAGTGGCCGTATACCGAATGAAATACGTGGGGTTCGCAACGGGATAGGCCTGGCCAAGTTCCTTTTGTTCAGCTAAGGTGAGCCCTTTCGAATCAAACACGAGCTGGGGCCCGATGTTCAGAAGAACATCCAAACCATAGCAGGTGGGCTGGTGTTTTTGGAGATACCTCTTGGTATCGCCTTGGAACTGCTTTGGCTGTTGCAGCTGGGATCAGCTGGGCTGAGAGACCATGTGCTGCATGCGCGACCTTTTCGTGTTTGTGAAGTTTACAACATTTTACAATACAGGCAAAGACCTTGCAACATTTGATTCGAACTGCCTGACAGATATCCCGCTGCTTGTCAAAGCTTCCAAGTTGGCCAGATTTTTTTCTCCCCAGGATCTCAAACACCCATAGCTGTTGGCTGTTGGTAATCTCAATAGAGCTGAAGATCAGCATGGCAGGCACTCTTCAGAAGCTGAAGAAGCACTTCGGATGGAACAAAGTCATCGGCTGCTCTGTCACCAAGGCGAATGGTGCCATGTCTCTTTTCACGTTGAGAACTTGCAGCCACCATGGCCTGAAGGCGGTGATGGAAAGCCTCATCGAGGGCTCCAATGAAAGCTACTACACCCGAAGGGCCAAGGTGTGGAAGAGCCATGGGAGACGTTAAAACCCAGATATTTATAGACCTTGATTCACTTGATTCAACCAATAAAAACGTCGTGTAACACTGGGGAACACTTTGCCCAAAGGTTGATGGTTATGTAGGGTTGTATTGATTGACTTACCAGGGTTTTCTACTCCAAATACAGGGATTTCGCGCTGAATTGCTTCGCACTGACTGGAGGTGGAGACAATTTTGCGACAGAGTCTGGCAAAACGCAGCCAGATGGCCTTTTTCCACTCCGACATCCATACGGTTGGTGCAGGCACGCAGCCAGTTGAGGTCATGAGGCACCAGCAATTTCTTGTGCGCTTCTGCGCGCAGGATATCATGAACTTGTTTGGGGAGACAGCAGGAGCAAAGATGTTTGGAGCCGCTTGGCAGAATCTTTGTTCACTCTTGGCCTCAGTGAGACTTGGGAGACTATTGTGGAACCCTGACTGAGATGTACCAGCACAATGAGTTGATAGATTGAGATGGCGGTCTAGGATTCCCGAAATCTGAACCATTGGAAAAGTTGGTGGATAGAAGCAAGGAAGTTGCGCAAGTCTTTCCACTTATTGCAATCTGAACTTGCACTCATCAATTTCATTCAGAATCTTCGGCTTGCTGTGATCCTTGCCCTGTTGCCATTCCTAGACTTAGGAAAGAAAACAGTCCTGGTGGGGACCCCAGAGCATGGTGACTAGTGGATTGTCAACCAGACATTTTGGTCTTGCAGGAAGAAATAGAGGTGGGTTCAATTGCTATGGGACCATAGATGGACAAGTGTCCGTTTGCAAACTATTTTGGTGTCCACCACAGCAACAGACTTTTTCCCATGCCGAAATATACCGAAATGTTTTGGAGGGCTGCTTGCCTATCTGGCACGAACCGCAGCATCAATTTTATCTGCGTTGCTCAGGTGTGCACTCTGGGAAGGAACATCGGAGCCATCCTGTTTATGGACGGCCGAAGGGTTCGAAACTCTCCTCTGAATGAGCTGTACACCTCGAATCCTGTCTGAGATTGGCAATGTGTTGAGTATCGAGTCATTGAGTGGGTCCACTACCTTGTCACAGACTACACAGCATGCTCAGTTTGGCAACCTTCAACAGCTGGTCCTTGCAGCAAGCTTTTGCACAGCCGAGGAACCGATCTGCTTCGCTGAAGAGCGTCCCATGGCAGTATCTGTTTGGCTGGAAGGGTTAATATCCAGAGAAGGAATGCAGGGATCCCTGCCAGAGGTCCAATTCTTGAGGTATGCCTTTGGATGCATCTTGAGGTTGGACAGCATGCCACAAGAGCTAGGGGTGATCAAAAGAGGTATGGGACATGGTAACCCCCGTCCTCATTGGTCCGTATCAGGAATCACCCTGTGTTGAAATCTTACGACATCTTACGACTGAGGATGCCGGGGAGTACAAGTTCGTTCCGCCAACTCCAGGCCACTTGAATCAGCAGACTGCATCAGGAGGGTCGGTCAGAGGCTTGAAGCGGCTTGGAATGCTCCCCCAGTCCTCAGGGATATACCAATTGAAGGCCAGCAGGGAAGCTGGAAATGTCATGGTTTGTGAACTTGTTTTCCAAGGGCATCTGGACTGATCGCATCAGGTTCCGAAGGTTTTGACGAATGGGTCGAAACTTTAGATGGCTATTTGGCTGAAATCACCAACTCCTTGCCTTCAGGCGATCTGGGGATCTGGGGCAGTGGCAGGGATGGAAATTCCTCTGCACATGTTCACACCCTCAGTTTGATGGAAGGCTGTGGTGGATGGAATGCCAGAGCCCAATGGGAGGAATTAGTGGTATTAAAGGAAAATTACAGGAACGCGCTCTGTTTGGATGGTAAAACTGTGCTTTCCTCTAGATTTGCTCCCCAAATCGATCCACTGATCACTGCAGCGATGTGAGGCATCGATCGCATGGTGCTAGTTCCCACTGGCCGCATGGCCAGAACCAGCGTTGCCGAGGCTGAACCCAGACCCCGAAGCCGGTTTCGATCTAGCGTTTTGAAGCCTGAAAATGGGGTACCTCCAAACTCTCGTGGTTAATCATCATCTTCCAAAATCAAGATTGCCGCAACTTGGGGTATCCTCCACCATTTTGCCACAACCGCATCTCCGGATGGGACGTTTTCGATCAATGCCTGCAGGTGATCTTAGCCTCAGACCAACTCGCAAAGACGCGGCAGCTCGTGGCGGACAGGTGCCACGGGAGAATCCCCATGATCCAAGTCCTTGGCCAAGTGGATATTCCTTGAATGATTGATCGGCAAATCATGTTTTCTCCAATTTTTCTCCAAATACAAAAAGTTTCCTCTGGTGGAATTTGCATGACAGAAGTATATATATATAATGATGTGTATATATATAATGATATTATGTATATATATAATATACATATATATATAATGATATTATGTATATATATATATGTACATATATATATATATACATAATATCATTATATATATATGTATATTATATATATAATGATATTATGTATATATATAATACACACACATATATATAATGATATTATGTATACATACAATACACACATATATATATATAATGATATTATGTATATATAATATACATATATATAATGATATTATGTATATATATATATGATACAAGTATCCAGATGTTTTGTTATTGCCTTTCCTTGATCTTCTGTGGCAAGAGCTCACAGCTCTGCCCACAGCTCAGGGGTGCGGATTTGGTGGTGGCCGAAACGGAGAGCGAAGCCAACATCATTCGAGGCACTGCTTTGGATGCGATCTTTGAACTGCAGGTGAACCAGGCGATGGCTGGGGCGTGGTTTGGTGTCTCTTCAAACGGGGGCATAGCCACAGATTGCCATGGTTTCAATCGATTTTCATGGGGAAAATGGCGATGAATCATGATAAACCATGATACACCATGATAAACCATGATAAACCATGATAAACCATCAAATTTTGGGGTATCCTGTTTTCAGACATATCCATATGGGTCTGGAAAGGGGTCATCTTTGAACTGCGCATGGAAAGGAGCCAAGTAGATTGAAGCTAATTGATCTAATTGGCTTCTGTTGGCATGTTGGAGCTCTTTGCACCTTGGCCCTAGATTGCAGTGTTTTGCTGGTACAGCAGTACACGACCTGCTCGTTTACTTTGCAAGAAGAGCAAGACCTAATCATGCGAATCAGGGATTCAAGACAACTCTATTTCTCTTTCAGGGAAATTTGCTTCAAAATGAAATGTGGCCCTTGTATTTTATACCTCTTGTAGTCTTAGTGCCCCTTCTCGTGTGATCTTGATGCCTCTCTGCTGGCAGTGGGGCCCACCGTTGACGTTTTTAAATGCGACCTACCAGGCCCAGCGTGCACTGGATGGAGTTTTAAACGATTCAAAGATCTTGCAGCACTTGTCAACCGTGCAGCTGCATGCTGCTTGGCTAAAGAAATTGAATGCACCGAAAATTGGACCGAAGGCAGCTGCCTGACCACTTTTTCAGGGAAGATTGTCGGATATTAGTTGTCGACCCCTGGGCGTCTTTCTCCGTTGGTCCCTTTTAAAACCTGCTGTTGGAAGTCTGCTTCCCACATTTCACAAATGCCCGCAGTGCCCCATGCCAAGGCGATTTTCGACCAGATGGATGTGGCAGCTTGGATGTTTGCTGGACCATGTGGTGTTCAAGTGATGTAGGACATGCAGGAGGATCAAGAAGACTGGGATACACATGGTCTCACCGTGAGCAGAAGTTCCACTTGAGCAGAGATCAGTTAACCACTGTGTCAATGGGGATGTCATGCCTGTCATTGGAATGTCTCGAGCGCAACCTTCACTGAGGATGGGGATGGAAGTCTGGAACCCCAGGCCCCTTGGTTTGCAAAATGTCAGCATACCAAAGGGTCCTTTGATAGTTGAGGCGATTTTGCAGTGGAGGTTTCCTAAGTCATGGGGGTACCCCCACATCATCCAAATTCGACCATTTTAGTATTGAAACCCATGGTGACTTGGGGATTCTCCATTTTTAGTGGATATTGACAGACATGTTCCCCAGAAATTGCAGTACTTTCAGTCGCTGGTCATACTGAGGAGATCAACAGAGCGTTGACCCTGCTGGGTATTGATCGAGACCTTGAGAGGCTTTGGGAAGCCCCGCTTGTTGTTTTGGATCTCAAAGATTGGGTGTAGCATTTTCGCGGTTGAGGCATCAAAAAAAATATACAGTAAGGATTGAAAACTATTTGTGATCAAAAAAGCACAATAGGGATCAAGAAAAGCATGAAAGACGGAAGGAAGCAAGTAAAGAAGGGAAGGGAAGGGAAGGGAAGAGAAGGGAAGGGAAGGGAAGGAAGGAAGGAAGGGAGGAAGGGAAGGAAGGAAGGAAAGGGAAGGGAAGGGAAGGGAAGGGAAGGGAAGGAAGGAAGGAAGGAAGGAAGGTGAAAACCCAGGATGAACCACATATCAATTCTTAGGTTGCACACTTGTAAATGAAACACATAGCTCCAAAACGCAGCAACATATATACGGTAGATCTTTTTTTATTTTCACAATGCAGCAAATAGCAAGGAAAAGTCCCCATGTTCTTCAAATTACATATGCTTGCTCCCAAATGCAGCAACTAGCCATTTTTTTTTGATCACCCATTTCTTTTGATCCAGCGTACGAATGGCGCAACCTCTGCCCTCTCCACATTTGGCTTCCTTTTATTTTATTCTTGATGCGTAATTTACTTTCTTTTGATCCCTTAGGTTATTTTTTTTTGATCCCTTCTATTTTTTTGGGATCCTTCTCCCCATTTTCGCAGGATTTGGATTCGGCGGTGGTGTCAAGGGTGAGTTACTTTGTATTACCTGTCCATTCCAATTGCCAACTTAATTTCTCCCCCATTCCAATTTGTGGGGATGCTGGGGCTTCCATGGCGCCGCAGGCTTCTTGAAGAGCTGGACACCACGCAGGATGGGGTGGTGTCCTTTGACGAATTTCTGGCTTGGTGGCGAAAGAACATCATGGAGGCTTGGGGAAAAAGCAGTAAATGGTTGTAACTATGGTGGATCCTGATGGGTCTCCACCAAGTGAGGGACATCCTTGACTTGGGATGTGCGTCCTCTCACTGTTACATTGCTTCCAGATAAAACTTGCGAAAAATAAAAAGGGCATTGGAATCATTGGAAGTGAGTTTCTGCAGTTAAGAAGCCATTTTCAACCCATGCTACCACTGGCAAGGCGCGTTGCGTCGTGACAACCAGTGCCAAAGCATGGCAGAGCATCGTGACGAACGCCAGTTGCCCCAGTTGCTGCGAATGCGTCATGATCGCCCCATGACCTCCACTGCTCGAATGTCATTTTGCACAATAGTACATGCTTAAAGAAAACACGATTGGATTTAGTTATACATACATATATATATATATATACACATATTTATCATAATGATAATAATAATGACAATAGATAATAATAGTATAGTAATAATAATAATAGTAATAACAATAATAACAATAATAGTAATATCAACAATAACAATCCTTATTGTTTTTACTATTATCATTCTTGTATATATATATATACATATATATATATACCATATATATCATCATATATCTACTAGTATCTATCCTTGGTACTTCAGAAAGCTGGAAAAGACTATGACTACGTCAGCGCATTCTAGCCTGGAACTAGCGCGAGCCACAGGGATAGCGATGTTTCGCCTTCAAGCAAAGGAGTATAACTCCAAATAACTCGAAAGACCATCACGTCAGGTTTTCTTGCAGTACACTCATTTGCACACATGTATATATCAATATGATATGATATCTGGTTGGTGGTTTGGAACATTTTTTGTTTTCCATAATATATGGGATAATCCTTCCCATTGACTCATATTTTTCAAGATGGTTAAAACCACAAACCAGATATGATATACCTCCTATTGTCATTTCATGGTGCGGCTTCTGGGTGACAAGCCCTTGCTACCAGGTGAACCCACCTATGAACTTTGGCCCGTTGGTCTTGCTGAAGGCAACGGTCTCAGGGCGGCTGCGAACGTCGTTGTTTTTTTTTGGTAATCCAAAGCTCTTAATATATTGCTTTTGTTAGACTTTGATGATGATGATGATGATGATGATGATGATGATGGCGATGATGGCGATGATGGCGATTGTGTCATGCCATGGCCATGGCGACCACTGGTGCTCTGAGGTCACCTTCACCTTTTGCCGCAGCTGTCGGGCTTTTGAGCCCAAGTGGCGAAAGTATTCGGATCAGCGCCTGAGTGCAGAACGCGCCGCGAGTCGGGGGGGACCCTGAAGAGGGCGGCTGCGAAAGTCCTGTTGGGATCTGTTGGGTGGATGATGATATGGTGGTTTAACCATAATCTATATGGGAGAAGTGGGGATTCACTGGTAAATGAATGTAAATGATGTTTGGTTGATGAGTAGTCCTACAGTGACACCAAGGGATTCTCGTAATCCATCATGGGAATCCGTATCAATCAACCAGCATAATGGAACGACGGCGTGTGTTTACACTGCTCATTTGACCTTTCCCAATTTATGGTCACATAAGAGGGGAACTGAGGTTTGAAACTATGAGATGGAAGCGGCTTTCCAAGTTTGAGACAACCTGGTTTGAGGAGTGTTTGTTCTATGATGTTCTATGTCTGTAAAACAGAGAGGGTCAAAACCTAACGGTCCCCAGGTGAAATAAAAATCATTGATCCCCCAGTTCATATGGAAAATCACATAGGTTTGGACAAAAAACATTTGGAGTGTGGCTCCATAGCTTTACACACCCTCTGAGGTGTACTCAATAGAAATCCTTCTGATTTTTAGAAGCTTCTGCATCTGGGTGTAAAAAAACATGGTTTCCTGTAAAAAATCCTTCAAAAGCCTGGCCACCAAAGTTGACGAGGTACAAAGACATTCGCTTTGTCGAGCTGGTTGGGAATGGCACGGTGGGTGCCATGGAATTTTGCACCCAAGAACTTGGTGTCAAGGTGGCCGCGGGGAGGATGACAAAATGCTTCGACAAGCACGTAGGCACGATAGGCACATGTAAATGACTTGATACATAGATAATTTTAGATACACATATAAATGAATAACACAAAATTGTGCTATATTATGCATACAACATTATTATATCTATCTATCTATCTACCTACCTACCTACCTACCTATCTATCTATCTATCTATCTATCTATCTATCTATCTATCTATCTATCTATCTATCTATCTATCCAACCAACCTATCTATCCAATTAATATGTATAGAGCACACACTCATGGACTCATAGATCCTTTGCAAGAAGACAACAAAGTGCTGCAAGGTTTCGCCCCGGCACTTCCGCCTGCGTGGTGAGGCGTCTCCAGCATTCTTTGTGTTCCGCCGTGGTACAGATGGAGGGCAGCTGGTCATGTCGTGGACTGGCGCCAGTGTGGAGAAATTTGAGACCAATGCTGGGGCCCTCAGTCAAGCCTGAGGGTCTTCTTGGTGAAAATGTTGGAAGCAATCAATAATAGAAATCCAGCATCCCCTGAGAGCATCCCTGCAGATTTTGGACGGAATCAAAGGTTAATGGACCTGAAACCTTTCACCGACCTATGAACAGAGTGGACTTGGTTCTAAGTTCCAAGAAAGAACACCCATTCGTTCCATTCACACCTCAACACGAAACGCTGTGTTTATCGCTCGCCGATGGGGATCCGGCTCAGTTGGACACCTGCATCCAACAAGAAGCTGAGCGGCAGGCGTGTGATGCGTCGCTTGCCTGGAGGATCTGCAGGGGCAGCTGATTTTCGCGGAGGTCACAGATGGAGTTTTCCATGGGGGTTCCCCCAAATTGTTGATTTATAATGGAAAACCTCATTAAAGTGGATGATTTAGGGGTACCCCTATTTTAGGAACCCAGATGTACAACGCGGATTTGTCATGTTTGTTTGTACATCATTTGTCTCGCTGCATGCCTCGATTCCATGGCAGTTATGCCTTAGGTGATGCCGAACTTCACGCAGCTCTGTGAAGAATTGCCCTTGAGTCTCAGTGGGGCTGACCAGTGAGGCTACTGAATCGAAAGATGACATGAATATGTCATTTATGTCTGAAACTCGGGTACACCATTCCATCCACTGATGAATCATCATTTTCACCTTTATTTCCCCGTTATTTCTCCATTAATTTGCCAGTGTTTTGTGGGGTACACCCTATGGGTATATGAAGCTGAAGACTCCTGGCCCGACGAGATGCAGGTGCTGAAAGCTCGATGTCGCCGCCTGACCTGCCGATGTCAAGCTGAACCCTTGAATCTGCCAAGCGAGAGATACTGGTTTCTTATGGTTTAGGAAGTTTAGGACTTGAAGATTTGCGAAACTATTGAGATCTATTGAGTTTCTGAGTTCAATCCATTTTCCAGGATGACATCGGCGGGCAGGTAGTTTTTTCTGCGAGGCCATTTGAGCAGTCTTGTGCGCATGAAGCTTGTTTGAAGATCGTCCCATCACCAATGGGCGGATGGGAATGACTCTTTTTCACAGCAGTGCTGCTCGCAGCGCACTGCACTTGATTGTTTTGGATCTTGCATGCCCCGACGGCGCTTGCACTGAAGCAAAAACTGAGCATTTATGACGGTTTTTGGCAGACTGATGGAGGTTTGGTGTAGAAGGCCTGACCAAAGATTCACTCACCTTTTTACGCAACATTTTTTGGTAGTAGTTTGCAGATCGCGAAAGGATCGAGAACGAAGAAACATCTGGTAATTTGCACATGGCAATGGAAAGTCCACCATTTGTACATCAGGAGCTGTGGAAAGTAGGAATTTCCCAGCCATGTCGGGTTGATGGAATGCACCATTTATGATTCCCACTGTGTCTGACTGCCCTTGGATTGTGACCTTGTCACTTCAAGGTGCATTCATCCTTCCTGGTGAGCGAGTGCGCTTGCTGAAGGAGAGTGCTCCCCTGTGAACCAGCAGAACTCCTTCACCCAGCACATTGGAGCTAAAACATGCTTTAAATGCATGGATTTGTACTCAAAAATGGCTCAAACTAATCTGAATTAGGTCAGTAGCAAGTATGGGTAATCACATCTACCCCTCATTCACATAATTACACGTAACCCCAATTTTTGTATGTATATACAGTAGATAGATGCATATATATATATATAGATATATATATATATTATATATATATATCAATATATAATATGTACAGTATATCTATTTATCTCAAATTGACATCCACAGTAAAGATTGGGAGTCATGTTTTGCTGCACCAGGAAGACAATGCCTTCCGAGCGGCTTTCAAGCGCTTCCCGGTGCCGGATGCTTTTTGGAGCATGGTTCAGCCACGAACGTCCTGGCAATCAGCGGAAGATTCCTATCATTCCATTCCAATAAGGAGGTTTCCATAAATCGGGGGACCCCATTGATGGATGGTTTATAATGGAAAATCCTATTAAAATGGATGATTTGGGGGTACCATTTTAGGAACCCTCCAAGTCTGCTATCACCTGTGAAATCTCAAATGAAATCCCGAACGGCAGTAACTGTTGGGTTTCAACCTCGCTGGTGCGTTGTTTTTTACCGAGCCCAACAACCGGAACAGCACCCTGGACCCCTCTGCCTGACTGACCTTTCCTGACAGGGGCAGTCCTTGAATGGCTACACTGCTGAGAAGTGGGCCAAGAGGGGCCAGGCGCGCATTGGGAATCTCGTCTCCACAGGTTGCATCGGAGCCAAAGATGAAATGACTCGTGCTGCATTTTTGAAGGCAAAAAGTTTGAGACGTTTCGTAGCCTTCGTAGCCCATGTTGGCCTAGGGAAATCATGCTGGTGCCAGCTAACGACAAGATCATGGGACCTATTCGCAGGAAAACCAACTTATTTTGCGTATAGAAACCGCAACATGTCGCTCACCCAGAGACGGGTGTGTTTCTTTTGCTGCCTTTTACAGCGGCTGAAATCATCACCCCCAGATTCGTGAAGGAGTGTATCATTGAAAAGACCTTCAACGACAAGCAACTTGGTCGGCACAGATTCTTGCAGAATCATGGCATTGCAGCTACTCCATCAGATCTCAACGGCAGCTATTGTTTCCAGTTCGAGGCAAGTGATAAAGGATTCTTTCACTTGCTGCAAGCCCAGAATGGGCCCAGAATTGAGATATTTGCCTACCTAACCTAACAGATGATTTTTTTCTCTATTGCTCCACCTCAGAGAAGCGATTGGACCAGGGCATCTCCTGATGTTGCAAGGACCATCACCTGTGTCTTTGCTGACGGCATCAGATTGGACTTTCCGTGGGAAATCGTCGATGGCTATGTGGATGACTGAGCAGATCCAGATTGTCTGCAGCTAAATCCATTGATTTCAATTCATCAAAGGTTGCGACGTAGACTTGTCGAATTTTGCCTTCATTTTTCACTGTGTACAGTGTTGCAGACAGCTCTGCCTACTGTAAGAAGGATGGCAAGGTTGATATGCGAGCTACTGTCAAATTGCGACGAGTTGCTTGAAAAGTAGTGAGCACTGCCACAAAAAGAACGAATCAATCGAAGCGCGGCGGCAATGGAATCATCCAAACGATTTGAAGGAGAGGAACCCATCAATTTGGTACTTTTATATCATCTTCTATCGTCACTCCTTAGCTGCCACTTTCTTGTCCACATGCAAGAAAAGCTTCTTCGGAGAGTCTGTGCAATTGGCTGTGGTTCACAATCTGCAAGTTGGCCGTTTCCAACGCGATTGGAAGTTTTCGGCTTTGGCCCCGGCTGTACAGTGCCCAACACCTTAGTGGCGATTCCATGCCACACCGAGTTCCTGAGAGGAAGGCGACAAAATGTGGCATCCCGCGCAGTGCTTAGACTTAGACATTCTGTTGAATGGGTACGATAGATGGAGCTGTCTCGCTTGCACAATGGCATATGACTACTGTATATAACTGGCACCTGCTTGCATTATAAGTATTCCTAGGAGTTGGGAGGCGTTGGAATAGTAGCAGGAGGAGCAGGAGGAGCAGAAGCAGAAATGACGACGGTTCCAATGATTATGGCAGAGGTGGTGGTGGCAATAGTGGTGGTGCGAACGGCTATTGATATGGGGAAAGGTCAATATCTGTGGGACCCATTTCTTTTGGGATGAACATCCATAACTTGCTAGTTACCATCTAAATTGCTTTTAACACCAAGTTTTTCTTTGGCTTCGAATATTGGTTTTGCGGCAGCTTGTTTGGCAGTGGCCAAGATCCTTTGCCGGCTGTGGCTCAGCTTGAATCCAACAGCTGTACCAGCTCGTCATGTGGATGTCAGAAGCAATAAGCAATCAGCTTTGGACACCGTGCGGAGAGTTTCAAGCCTACTCTCCAGCCAAGTTTATTCCTTGTGATGCCAAAAATAATATTGCACAATGTTTGACAAAACCTTGAACATCAAGACTTCAAGAGATCAAGATTTGGGCAGATGTTTGCAGAGCCCTTTCACTGGCCATTTAGCTAGCAGTTGCGGTTTCCGCCATGGGGGATGCGGTCACAGACGCGACGGAAAGCACAGGCTACGCGGCTACTCAGTCGTTGGACACGTTGGACCATCATTGGATGCATTTTTACTCGTCACACGCATTTCTCGCCATCGCCGCCTGTGGGAATCTGAATCTCCAGGTGGCCAGGGCGATGATGATCTTTTTCAGTTTTTGGAGCTCAAGAGAAAGGAGGTAGCTTCGTTGACGTGTCTCTATCATGGGAATCGGAATATAGTTGTTACCCACTGGGCAACAAAGATGACAATCAGAAATCTCCAGTTTTGATGGTAACATCGTTTATCAATCGATATGTTACCTATACCTTTACGTTACAAACATAATATGACATATATATATATATTGTATCATATATATATATATTATATCATATATATATGATATAATATATCATATATATATTATATCATATATATATATTATAATATATATATAATATAATATATATAATATATATAATATATATACATATATAAACATACATTTGCATTACATTTACATTTGTATTACACATTGCCACGTTGAACCTTGCAGGGAACACCTAACGCGTGCGCGGAGGTGGCAGCGATGACGCAAGCCGCCGAGATTGCTCGGGAGCAGGCGCTTCAGCTGCTGCGGCTCCAACAAGAAGTTGCCAGGCGAGTCGAAAGCATCACTTTTTCTGATGACAAATGGGTATGGATCAATACCTATTAATACCATTTTTAGGGGGATGAACATCCATAAATCCCAGCTATTTCTGTGTGAACTACAGGGGTACAAGGTTTTGACACACTGCCAAATGACAATGGCCATGTATTGGTGTACCATTTTCCAGAACCCATATTTTCGGCGAAGTGAACATGCTAAAAACATCCAAAACAGTCAACAGTCTATGCATTCTTTGTTGAGACAGCTCCACCTTAGGGTTTGCCAGTTGTTCGAAGCCACCGATGTGTTGGTGTCAGGATAGACCGTCTAGCCGAAACAGGCAGTGAAGGCGAGTGTGCTTTGGTGAAGCTATCGATGATGCTCTGCAGTGCTGTTTCCAAGATTTATTATCCAGCTTGGCCAATCTAGGCAGCTGACAAATCATTGCTTTATTGTTGCAAGCCAGCTATGAATAGCCAATTGTCATCAGGTACACTTCGTAGAAGCATAGTGGGAGCTTAGACCAGTGAGATCGAGTGAGATATACAGCTTGCTGTCACACCTTCTAGGCGATGGGACGATGCAGGACTCATGCGCGGCATTGAATGATCTGAATGTGTTGGTTTCGAAACTGCATTCGAACGCTGAATTGGCAAGAAAGGAACTACAATTAACATCAATTAACATCAATTAACATCAATTAACCAGTTGCAATTTTCCATTTTTCAAGACACCGGTTCCACAATGAGATGATCGCAGAATTTCAGGAGACCACTCTTCGAGAGGCGCGGAGTTCTGGAGGCGCCGGCAAGTTGTCTCAAAAGCTCTAGGTCTTTGAAGCACCTTTTGACCTAAGAAAAAGTCATCAGGCCCCAATTTTTCCATAGTTTCTATAATTTTCAACCCATTTTCCCAGCTACTGTCACCATTTCTGTCAAGTCATTTATAATTTTCCCAGAAGTACCATTTTGCTTCCCTCAACTCCCCAGCTAAATGACATTTTGAGGAGACGCACTGCTTGAATCAACGGCCCTGGGAAGTGTTGGTGCAGTCCTCGGCCGAAGGTTTTGAGATGTTTTGATCCCCACATCATGCCAAATGCTTCAGGGTCAAATCAACTTGGCCTTGGGGAAACTTTGCCACATGAAGTTCAATCGCGCAAAAACCAGAACAAAGCTGATTCAATCCTGGCTGCGTGAAGCCGTTTGCTCAGGTGAACTGCCAACTACCACCTTGTCCCTGGAGGAGCGTCCTACGGCAAAATTTCAAATGATCGGAGAGTATGAAGATGTACGAAGACTCAAAGGACGATTCCACATACTTTCATTCGACATCATCCCTGTTGCCACATGCGCCTCAGAGCTTGTTTGTGGAGGATCGGCAACGTTTCGGCTTGGACGTGACACCACCGCCCTCGGAGGTTCAAGCATTGCATTGCAAGTCGCAGCTGAACCGTTTTTTTCTTTTCAGTAGATGTCCAAGTGCCAAGCATGTTGCATGTACGTAATGAAATAGACATAGATGTCAAGATCACCGAGAGTGGACAGTGCCAGTCTGTGTGCAGTCCAAGTGACCAAGTTGGTTCGGCTCTGTGTTTGTTTGCTCTTGACCTGCTCTTGACCTGTTTTGATCTGACGTGCTTTTAATAACTCATGGGGAGGTTGGGAGGAGCCAGGTTCGAAACCCGCATGCACTGCCCTGAAGCAGCCGTTTCAGGCTAGCACTGACGACATGAGAGAAATTTCCTGGCTGCTCATGGCATCGGCAAACCTACCAACATTTTATCACCAACAGCAGTCTGAGTATGAACATGACTAGACTCTGTAGTCTTACACATTTGTGGCACCAGTGAGGCATGAACAGACCACAAGTTTTCGCTGAAAAAGCAACTTCTCCAAAAGCACTTTGGACAAATGCTGTTGCAGACAGATCTGAGGCTCAGAGCTCACGCTACAATCATTTTGGTTCTAGCTTTGTGGGCTCCGGAGTAGAATGTTGGCGGATCTACCATTGGGTGCCAGATCACAGGCCAGGCACTTGTGCCCCTATTTTTTTCCGCGGTTGCTGGGGTTTGACAATCATGGGATCCACTGCCCCGAAGGTATCCTGGCCATCGTCCCCCAGTGCGGCAGTTGCGGTTTCGGTGCCGGCCCCGGCAGCCAGAGGGAGCTTCGAAAGCGGCTGGAAGTCGGTGCAACACTCAGTGGCGTTCTTTTCATCAACAACTTCTTTGGCATTTAATATATAATATATAATATGTATAATATATATAATATATATGATATATAATATATAATATATAATATATAATACATAATATATAATATATAATATATAATTACATAATATATTATATATGATATATGATATAACATATGTAATATATAATATATAATTATATAATATATGATATATGATATATGATATGAACTATAAAATATATAATATATAATATATAATATATGATATATAATCTATAATCTATAATATATATAATATATAATATAAAATATATAATATATAATATATAATATAATATATATAATATATAATATATAATATATAATATATAATATATAATATATAATATATAATATATATAATGTATTATAATATTGTATATAATATATAATATATAATATTTAATATTTAATATATAATATATAATATATAATATTTAATATTTAATATTTAATATTTAATATTTAATATTTAATATATAATATATAATATATAATATAAAATATATAGTATATAATATATAGTATATAATATATAATATATAATATATAATATATGATATATAATATATAATATATGATATATGATATATGATATATAATATATAATATATATAATATATAATATTTAATATATAATATATAATATATAGTATATAATCTATAATATATAATATATAATATATAATATTATTTAATATTTAATATATAATATATAATATAACATATATAGTATATAGTATATAATATATAATATATAATATATAATATATAATATATAATCTATAATATATAATATATAATATAAAATATATAATATATAATATATAATATATAATATATAGTATATAATATATAATATTTAATATTTAATATTTAATATATAATATATAATATATAATATATAATATTTAATAATTAATATTTAATATTTAATATATAATATATAATATATAATATTTAATATTTAATATATAATATATAATACTGTATATAATATATAATTATATAATTATATTATATAATTATATAATGGATTTTGCTAATTCTGAAAACCTAGCCCAACTAGCTAACCAACCAACTAGTTAAGCTAAGTACCTAGCCAACTAACTAGCTAAATAAGCAATGAACCAACCAACCAACTAGTGAACGAACTATCTAACTAAGTGACTAACTGGTATCCAATTGACTTGTGCTATTCCAACTAGTATGGCATCAGCCTCGGGTCTATCCGTCCATTTTTGGCAAGAAAAATGGTCCCAGGCGCCTCGCGCTGGCTGCCATGTTCCTCCAGCTCTGGGTGCAGCCGTCGTCTCAGCGACCGGATGGAAATTGGCGATGCATCTCATCCAACTGCCAAGTAAGAGCATCAAATGACCCCAAAGCAATTGGAATTGAAAATTCGATATCGAAACTGAGCATGGTGGATATGGGTTTGATAAGGGTGACTTCAATATTATTGCATATTCTTGCAAAGGCTTGAGGCCTGTAATGTTTGGGTAGGTTTGGCAGTTTGGAGATGGTGTTATTTTTTTGGGACATGTTTTGCTTACCATTCAGAGGAGGCGAATGACTTGAAATAGTGGGAACACTTTTTTTTGGTGAAGCGTTCAAGTTTTACCAAGTTCTGCTTGGTAAACAAGTCTTAATCTTTAAGTTGGTTTACATCAGTTTACATCCGTGCCATGGTCAAAAAATAGGTTAGTTTCTCCCAGGAGGGTCATCTTGCATCGGCAATCGAGGCAGTAGCTGCCTTCAGGTTGAAAGGCAGACACAGGCCTGTGAGATTGGCCGAAGCTGGGAAGTGCCGAAGATTGTAGGTGATTCAGCCAACGATCATCCGAGGCAAGCCCCGATGTCGTAGAATTTCGGAGGGTGAATCCAACGTTTATCCGATTTTTGACGTGCAGATGCACCAACGCTGATATTTTTTGGATAGAAGTACTAAGTGGCTGACACCCAAATCGCAAAGGCGACGTGCTGTCTGCCGAGGCTCGCAAGATGATTCGGAATTCATCAATCTCAAATTGTGACAGTTGTGACACCATGGGAGAAAAACACATCAAGACCATTCAAGACCTAGAAGTACTTACAAGGCTTCAGATTGAGTTCATTGGATTCTCATGGATTCTCTACAGATCTCACATCCAAAAAATGGGTCAAACTTGGGGTCGGCCACAAGCTGGGATGGCCGATCCTCAGACTTGGCAAACATCTCTGTAGTGACTCTGCCATCAACATAGGCTGAAGTTGTCCTACTTGGGGATGCATCCCAGTGAGTATCAAAAATTCATAGTACACCCTAGTTACATATGGTATGGATGATGTATAGGCTAGGTTACAAACCACTTACGAACTGGGATGCACATCCAGGTAGAGAATCAACGGTGAGTGTCATCCAGATGGGTCCCACTGGTGCAGCTGCAAGGTCGAAGGATTGGCCGAGTGTTGCGCTTTAGCCGTTCCGACGAATGGCAAGCAGATGGCACAGACGGTGGACAGGACCACCGAGCGCAAGAAGCAGACCAAAGGGTCAAGGGAGTTGAGGCCTTGCCAACAAAAATCTGACTGGATAACCAATGATTCCAGTGATCCAAGTCTTTCCAATATCTTTGGGTTCCATCAAACATCTTTCATATTTTCAGCTGCAAGAAACAAGTAGGGCCAAGTAGGTGGGGTCTTGTCAGTCTTGTCCTCAAAAATGGGGTACCCCTAAGATCCTAAGTGGTTACCTCTGGTAAACTAACATAGCTATTGAAAATGGCCATTTATAGTGAGTTTTCCCATTAAAAATGGTGATTTTCCATAGCTATGTTAGTTTACCAGAGGGTATCTTCATTTTCCAGAGTAGAATTGTCCTTCGCTTGGGGATATATAATATATCCTTCCAGGAGGCTCCGGACCTCAAGACCTGCATGGTGCTCCACTCAAGCGCTGGAAATGACTTGGGGATGGCTTCGAATTTGGGGTCCCCAATGATTGGATTGATACGAAAAATTGACCAAATCTGCGGCTGTTTTTAATTTTGATCCATACTCACTGGGGTGAACCACATCGAAGCAATTGTTGGTCCGTTTCATGAGTTTTTTTCGTGGATTCCTTTGTGTCTTGATGATTTTTCACAGGAACTTTCTTCGCATCAGATTTGCCCAGCAGCTCCTTTCCTCCAGTGGCTTCTCCCCCTTTGGACCCTGGGTTCCACTAAGGTTATGGCAGGATTCTCCTTCGATGCCTACACCTTGATCGATCGAGCTCAGGGGGTTCACAACTCAGAGAGCTGGTGGTTTACTGCACTGGGTGCTGTCCAGGTTGGCTGCATGTGATCTTGATATGACTGGTGGATCACCATTTTCAAACGGGGTTTGGGGATGTTGTAACACAGCTTGGCCTTCACATGGGCTCTGTGGTTCGTGTGTTCGAGGTATGGACCTGTCAGGGGAATCAAGACCAGCGCGGCATTTGTGGAGTGCAGGCAGGGACGAAACGCCATGGGAAATATGAGAAGTGAAACATCACACCATCCCTGAAGGGCTGGGTGAAGCACAGTCTCTATGGCTTCCAGAAAGGGGGTTTCAGACAGTTTCAGATAGTTTCAGATCCAAGAAATTGGATGATGGGATTTTACATTTTAATAAATATATATATTTATATGTATATATATATATGTTTTACTGTACATGGTCACCCGGTATCAAACCAGGAAACGACAATGGTTTCCTGCAGGTTTTTCTGTCGTGGCCAGGCGGTGCTGCTATCCTCCACCTTCGTTCGTGACGCCTTCCGTGGCATCTTGCGCGCCCGCGTGCTGAGTGCCCAGGGCCTGCGGGGCGCTGGCATGGCAGGGGCCGTGGCGGTGGGGGGATCCCAGCCCTGTAGCGCATTGCTGGGGTAGACCTCCCAAGGTTGGGCTGGAATTTTGTGTGGGGATATGAATTGCCTGACTTTTGAAGCTAAGTAAACGGGGGGTAGTTGCGGGTATAGTTGAAGAACCCTATGATTGTTGGATTTCTATCTGCGACTTGACTTAGGAGTGGTGAACAGATGGCCACATCGATTTACTCCGAATTTTCATTCGAGATTTTGACATTCAAACAGCTGCCTTTGAAAAGGTCTTCTTTCGGACGACAGCGGGAGAGTCTGCGGGTGGCCTCCAAGGCATCAAGACGGCTAATGTGTTGATCTGACAATCACTTTTGATGACTACTGTGACTAATGACTCACACATTTTCCAGAAGTTGATTTATCTCAGTGAGATGTTGAAAAGAGTTTCATCGAGGCCTTCTAAATGAAAGGTGCATTGGAAGGTATTGCTCAGCGATTCAACGATCATCTTTCTCTGTTGTTTTTGGCGTTCGCAAAAATCAGAACCTCTTATATAAGATTGCACCGGGTTGGCGATCAACGAAATTTCAGGATTCGACTTTCAGACAGGAGAAATCCGCCATTACTCCAGACTTTTGCCATATCCACATCACTTTGAATTCTATCCACATGATTGGAAGTTGATCCATTTTTGGACACTGTGAAGACTTGGTGCCCTTGGACCGCAACTATTGCCAGGTTCCCGCGCTTGGTTGGAATTGGACCATATAGATGATATAGTTTGATATGGTATAGTTTATATACGTAACTATACGTAACTATATTATTTCCTCCATCTTCATGCTATATATATATAAATGCCACTCTGATTGTTATGATCAAATTGTTGTTGTAAAACATGTAATTTAATGTTAACATATACTGTGCCCCTCTCTCTCTCTTTCCATATATATATGTATGTATATATATATATGTATATATATATATGTATATATATATATATCTGTATGTATATATATATACATACATATGGAATATACACCATTCCTATCCATGACTATTTTGCTTGTATAACCTCTAATTGCCATGGGATATTGACATCAAATGGGCAGAGTCCCAGGCTTTCAGCGCAACAGCGTCCGGCGGGGTGTTCTGAACGGCCTGGCACAGTGGCTGGACGAGGCAAGGCGCATTTGGATCAGTCCCTTGGTTTGATCCTCCATTTGTTGGCCATAACATGCCATAACCACACATATGGGATAATATGGGTACCCTCTGGTAAACTAACATAACTATGGAAAATCACCATTTTTAATGGGAAAATCCACTATAAATGGCCATTTTCAATAGCTATGTTAAATTACCAGAGGGTACATGAAACCAAGCAACTCATGTTGCCTCTCATGGCATCTAAATAGGCATTGTATCTTAGTTTGGTACCTCATTCTTGCTGCTGTGCCATGAGGGAATGGTTCACAGCTGAACTTGTCTGCAGTTTTGGACTGTCCCTCAAAAGGAGATATCGATAAGATCCAATGAAACATATACTGCGCAGTATCCAGCAGAAAGCAAAACTCAGCTGCAGAAAGCAGGTCCATTTCTCAGTTCCCATGTCGGTCCGAAATCGGGGGACTCCGTGTCAGGACGACTCCGTCTACCTCTACGTGCCCAAAGGCTGATCGTCACTGTATAGCTATGAATGTCTAACTACTGCGAAGCCATTAGACGCCCTGGAGTCCTGGAGCTTCATTTGCTGTATGGCATGTGCTCTCTTGGAGGTGCCCTGGCAGACTCAGCTGCTGACACCTCGGAGGAGGAGGGGAAATGGATGGGTTAGAACCAACTTCCCCCCGCCGGCATTCCATGGCTTTTTCCATGCTGTTGATCCTCAATTTCAAGATGGTCGCCAAGGAGCCATGCCTCCACATAGAGGCCAGCTGGTACACCTCAGAGGCGGAAGACCAGTGTGAAAACCGTTGATTCGTTTGCAGGTGCACAAGAGAAGCCTTTTGGACAACAGCACCATGGGCATTCTAGGCCAGGATGGCAGGTGGCCTGGGATCGAACTGGCAACGGCAGGTTCCAAGCATTGTTTCGGTTGTCACTGCCGTGCACTGCCAGGAACTGCTTCCATTCCCATGTCGCAGTGGGGGTCTTCTCACCTGAAAGAGCTCTGTGTAGGAATCTGAGATTGGATTTGCCAGGTGTCTTCTGGGTGTGTGAAAATGCACCCCAAAATTTCATGGTTGATCAGTTTGATCATCACTTCCCCATTTCTGAATGGCCATTTTGGGATCCCAATTTCTTGGACAATCTCTGATCACTGTCCTGTCCAAGAAGGCTCCAGCTCCACCACACTTTGGACTCAGGACTTGGGAGTGTAACCAATTGTGACAAACAAACCATCCGGTCATGGCAATTCTGGATGCCATGGAAATTCTCGAACTAAAAGATCCCAGATGGAAGTTTTACTCGGACATTGTTCTATAAATGGGGATTTTCCATTGCCAGGTTTGATTACCGGAGGGTACTGACTTTTTGCACGAATCTGACTGGAGCAAGACATGGTCGCGTTCTGCTAAGGTGCCTTTGGTCAACACTGACCCAGCAGACGAGGGGGAGGAGAGAAACTTCCAAGCGTTGATTCAAACAACGGCCCCTCAGACTGATCTGCATCCATTCTCATGGCTATTTTTGGGCGCAGCATTTGTTCATATTTGTTCTTTTTTCTGAGCCTTCGGATGTTGTCCCATTGCCGCCATAGCTGCTTGCCGTTCTGTCTTTGTGATTTCATTGATGAGTTCGGTGTAGTAGTGTTGAGCAATGTTGTTGATTGCTTTTGGCAGGTCATGAGAACCGGTTGCTTTGGGAGCAGACATAATTCCGTCCAAACTCTGACAATGCTTGAGTTTGATGGTAAATGCCCTCTGCCCTTCATTGCTCACATATTCTCTCAACCAAGCGGTTTCTTTACACACTTTTTTCACTACCTCGCATGTTGCTTTGGCATTTGTAATTCGTGCTTCTGCTGTTTCAAGCGCTTCAAGTAGTTCTTCTGGTCTGGTTTGGAATGCCTCGGCGCTGTTTCGTTTTCCTCTTCCTCCTCCGAGCAACAAAGGTTTGACAATCCTTTCTGTGTAAGGGGCTTCATCCGAAGAAACATCCATGGAAGCATCGTCATTCTGAAAGCCCAGAGAAAGGAAAACTGGAGATGGATGATCTCTGGTTGCAGCTGAAGAGGCAGACTGAGGACATGGAGAATCACATCCGCCGCCTAGCGGCTGAGGCAGATGCAGCAGCTCTTGAGGCCGCAGACGGCAGCCATGCGCCGCAAGGTCTGGAAGTCTTTGAATCCGTGGAAGTGCAGAACGAGGAGGCGACGCCAAACGACGAAAAGACCAAAGAACCCCCACTCGCAATGCCAGCTGCTGAGCATCCCTTAGTGCTTGCGGTGGAGCAGCAGCCAGCTCAGTTGAGGAGATACTGGCTGGCAAAGCAAAGTGGGGTGCCGAACATCAGGTGGAATTGCAGAAACTTCGCATGGAAGGTCAACTTTCCGAAAGTTGATTCCAAGGCGAATTTATCAGCTGGACTTCACGAGGATTTGCTGTGAAGAAGTTCATGGTCCAAGGGCGCAGTGAGGCCGAGGCCGATGCAGCAGCTCTTGAGGCCGCAAGGGCCTTTCACGCAGAGCTGGTCAAGAAGGGGGTCCTTAGAGAACCCAGGCTGAAGGACCCTGAGTTCACCAGCGAAGTGCTTGGGGTCTCATGGGCAAAGAGACAAAAAAAGTGGAAGGTGCTGTTGCACCCGAACAAAAGGAAATTCATTTATGGCGGCTCCTTCACCGAGAAGGCAGTGGCCGAGGCCAAGGCTCTTGAGCTTCGGGAAAAGCATAGCATGCAGCTCCAGGTGAAGCCTGTGGCTACGCTGGCAAACAGACATGCTGGGTTGCCGGTGTTCCACCCCAAGGTGCCATACCCAGGGGTGACGTGGGACTTGCGAAGTCAAACATGGCGTGCAAGGTGCTATGTTGATGGGGCCCGTCGAGAGTTCAAGGTGAGGCCCAAGGACCACTCAGAGGCGGAGCTGGAGCGCTCCTTCAAGGAGGCTGTTGCCTGGAAAAAAACAGGAGGAGGAGAAGAAAGGCAAGGCCGTGAAGCCTAAGGTGAAGCCTCGGAAGGATCAAGGAAAGTGAATGCAAAAGGCAAAGATAATTGAGCTGCATGGCTTATTTCAAAAACAATTGCAGTACAGACCATTCGCGTCTAGCAGGTTTCACAGAGGACAATCTTCGCTTGCTAATGTTTAGGTCAATGGGTGCAGATCCTAGAATGGCGTGGCTTATGTTCATCTAGCTAGCTTCACAGAGGAAAATCACCGCTTGCCAGTTTTGGGTTTCGAAGTTGAAATCGAACAGCTGGAAATATTTGGATTCAGTTGTTCAGCATTTGGCTAGCACTCATGGTTTAACATCACAAATGTGAAAATTGAGCATCTAAAAATGGGATGTTTTTATTGCAAAAACGATCTGCACACTTTGAACCATACCAATAGTGATCCCAAACTTGGATGGTTCAGTCAAATTAGCCCTGAAATTGATGAAATCTTTGGTTTTTGTTCATTGGTACCAGCATTTTTAAAGATTTTCGACCCATTCCCACATCCACACGCGACAACGCATGCTTGGCTTAGGAGAATCAGCCCGGTGTGGTGAAGCTGCAGCTGGAATTTGATGAGTTTGGAGAAGTTTCAGAGGTGCCGAAACTGGTTATCTTTTTGGTGCCAGACCCCATCCCATCCGATGGGTATTGGAAAACGGATTTGAACATATTTGAACCACAAACCTGGGAGAAACGAAGCAGGGGATGGATTATTTGAGGGGCCGGAATTGGATTTTAGAAATTCTTCCATTTTGGGGACTGCCCAGTATTTTTTCCATCAGCCAATAGCACAAAATCCGATTGACTGGTAAAGGACACAGCTACAATATAGGTCCTCAGGTAGGAAGGAGATGTTTTCGGTGTCAAGTAAAGGCCTTCAAGGGAATTTGTTGGATTGCGGATCTACACACGTCGTTGTTGATCTGGACATCATGGATATTCATGGATGTTTTTTCTTTGAAATTGATGATTTGATGTGGAGAAATGAGTACATTAATTCACAATCAGGTTGATTCATTGGGGATTTGCTCACAAGTATTGATCCGAAAAAATCTAGAGAATGGCCCACTCTGTTTGAGTTTGTTGTTTTCATATCCAATATCCAGCTATATCAATTATTGCCAGATATTTGCAATCTCATCATTCTTGGTGATGTTCCCACAATGACTACTATCTGTCAGTAACCTCCGGCATGAAGAAACCTTCAACCCTCGTAGCTGCAGGTGCCCGAGATGGGAAGCGGCGTGGATGAGCAAGTGGATGACGTGACTGCGGAGGCATCAAACCAGGGCGGGGTTTCCGGTGTTAGGCTGGTCACAACTTGTTGGCTTTCATAGTCCGTCTCAGGATCAAAACTTAATATAAACACTTTGACCATTTTGTGGCGGGATTTGTATTTAGATGGATGTATCGATTCAATTATATTCATATATCAATATATATAATATATATATATATTCATATATCAATATATATATATATATTGATATATGAATATATATATATAATATATATAATATATATAATATATATATAATATATATATAATATATATATAATATATATAATATATATATATTTATATATTCATATATCAATATATATATATATGTATATAATATATATAGCCGCTTTGTTTCTTGGGCAAGTCCTGTCGAATTGTGAGCTACATGCAACTGCAGGAGTACCTTTTTTGCCCATGACAAGGTGGCAATTAAGTATTGCTAGACATTTCCAATGGGTTTCTTTCTGGCGATCAAATGTGACGCTCCAGGCCCGCTATCGACGTCGAAGGTTTGGCAGCAATGTGCCCACAGAGGTGTGGCGGTGGCAACGGGTAGGGAAAACTGTTGAAGCAGGTAGCTTAGGTAGATTAACACGTATTCAAGTCTATCTCGAATTTTTGCCGACATGGTGAGGTTTGATTTTATAATCCCATCCCCCATTCCTAGTATGAAACACTCCAATTTCATGGTCCCAATGCGAAAATTCATGAAATTTCCCTACATCCACCAGGATCCGCCATGGTTTCTTCGCCAGGTTCGCTTGCCTGAAACCGAGCGCTTGAACTATCATCAGCTGGAGGCGCGCCAGATCCAGGCCTTGACGGATGGCAATTGGCCGATGAAAAACCACCGACCTGAGGTGTACATAGTAAAAACAATAGTATACATAGATACAATGATATACATAGTGTATCTATGTGTATCTCTCTCTCTCTCTATGTATATATATATATACACTGTATATATATATACATAGAATATGGTGCGGTCAACTGATTTCATCCCATTTGCTCAGGCGGCGCTACGTCGCCGAGGTCTCCCTTGGCAGGGTGACAGCATGGGCTCTTGGATCCAGCTGGAGGTCTTCGGGGCTTCTTTGGAAGTTATGATGGTTTTTGTTATCAGGAACTACTAATTCCTATATATATATATGTTCTATCATGATTGATGATGATGATGATGATGATGACGACGACAAAGACGAAGGAAGTACATATGTTGGAATGCTCCTCGACCATCCAAGGTCGAGAGGTTCTAGAAAATCGTTTGAAGACGTTTGGGCGCCAAGAATGGTTGCTTTACAAGTAGTGAACACCATGCAATACAGTCATTTTGTCCAAGAGAAAAAACAAAACCAAAAACACTAGTGGTCTATTTTCATCGGTAGTTGCAAGTAGTTGCGGAAGGTTTGAGTCCAGCCGAAACTTAGAAGGACCAGCATGTTGTCGAAGACGAGCTGAATTTCCATGATGTCTGGAGCTTCGGATGCAGAGTGCCAAGAGTCACGGCTGGTTCCAGTTTGTTTCTCAGGTCCATTGCAGCTGAGAAGGCAATTTACGATGCGGGAAGCTGGTGGAACACAGCCCTGCGGCCCAGTGCTGGTCGAAAGATGCAGTCGAAAACTAAAGGATTTGAGATCCAGATCATAACAGCATGGCCAACAGTGGCAGCATAGCATGGAGATGGTTTCAGTCTGGACGAGCATGAAGTGGTGATGTTTGTGGAGAGGTTGAGAATTTTCTGGGTACAGACCGCAAGGCGCGGAAAGGAGTCTGGCCCTACGATTACCCTTTGGTAAACTAACGTAACTATTGGAAATCGCCATTTTTAATGGGAAAACTCACTATAAATGACCATTTTCAATAGCTATGTTAAATTACCAGAGGGTAATGCTGGTCTCATCCAACGAGCTGGGATTTTCCTTGTTGAATTGCATGAAGTAAATATCCTAAGAATTCTGATTGCGTGCTGGATCTTTTTCCACTGCCAAAGTTTATCTAACTTTTACGTACCTTTATTATGTTTTATTGGCTTAAATCCCAAATCCTGAACTTGATGTTTCCGGAAGGCCATTTCCCGCTCGCCCCCCTCAGGTGCTGAAAGGTCGGCCTGGAACCCGAATCTTGCCACCCGAGCCATGGAGTCCTTCAAGGCATCCGGTGCTGCCAAGCGCCGCCGCCTGATGTGCGGTGCAATGCCTGGCGATGGTGTGAAGGTCAAGAACGAGACAAGTGCGGAGCATGAGGTCGGTTCTGAAAGCCCAGAGAAAGGAAAACTGGAGATGGATGATCTCTGGTTGGAGCTGAAGAGACAGACCGAGGACATGGAGAATCACATCCGCCGCCTGGTCAGCTGCGACAACGAAAGTTCTCTTGCGCAGGCGGCAGCCAAGGTCCCCGAATCCGTGGGAGCATTGGGAGCCGCAGATGAGGAGGCGACACCAAGACACAAAAAGATCAAAGTAACCTCCGTCGCAATGGCAGCTACTGAGCATCCCTCACTGCCTGCCATGGAGCAGCCCTACAAGCTGGCAAAGCAAAGCGGGGTGCAGAACATTTGGTGGGGCACCAAGGCCTTTGCATGGGGAGTGAAATTTCCAAAACTCGATTCCAAAGGAAACACATTCAGCTGGACCAACCGAGTGTTTGCTGTGAAGAAGTTCATGGTCCCAGGCCGCACTGCGGCCGAAGCTGATGCAGCAGCTCTTGAGGCGGCCAAGGCCTTCCGCACAGAGCTGGTCGAGAAGGGCATCCTGAGAGATTCCAGGTTGAAGGACCCCAACTTCACCAGCGAAGTGCCTGGGGTCAGGTGGGATAAGACAGCAGAAAAGTGGAGAGTGCAGATCCAAAATCGCAAAATGTGGATTGAGGGCGGCTACTTCACCGAGAAGGCAGCGGCCGAGGCCAAGGCTCTTGAGCTACGGGAGAAGCATGGCCTGCAGCTCCAGGTGAAGCCTGTGCCTACGCTGGCAAACTTGCCGATGTTCCACCCCAAGGTGCCACACCCGGGCGTGGTGTGGTTTGTCCGAGACCAAACATGGCGTGCGAGTTGCTATGTTGGTGGAGCCCGTCGAGAGTTCAGGGTGAGGCCCAAGGACCACTCGGAGGTGGAGTTGGAGCGCTCCTTCAATGCGGCTGTCAGGTGGAGGAAAAAACAGGAGAAGGAGAAGAAAGGAAAGGTCGTGAAACCCAAGGCGAAGCCTGGGAAGAATCAGTGAATGTGAGTGCAAGAGGCAAAGATCCTTGAATTGCATGGCTTCTTTCAAAGACCATCGCAGTACAGACCATTCGCGTCTAGCAGGTCTCACAGAGGATAATCTTCGCTTGCTAATGTTTAGGTCAAAGGGTGCAGATCCTAGAATGGCGTGGCTTATGTTCATCCAATCTCCGCTTGCCAATGTTTGGATTGAGTGGTTCAGGATTTGGACAGCAGTCATGGTTTAACACTTGGGTTTCTACGTGAAATTTGGGTGTCTACAACAGACATGTCTTTCTTGCAGAAAATGTCACACATATGTGTTTTCTTTGTATTGACCCCAAACTCCGATTCACAAAGATGCGGTCCATGTCACATGTCTACTTTTTAGAGTCCAACATATCAGTTCATAATCTCTAGTTGATCCATCAATCTACTTATATAATACAATTTAACAGACAATTGAATCATCATGTACTTTTTGTAGCGTGATAGTGTTAACCATTTCTGGGGACTTAAAGCCTATTTGAATGCGAAGTCACCATTAATCGATGGCGATACAAGCATCAGTAAATCTGCACCCATGCCACACCCTACAAACTTTAAACAACTCAATCATGCTTAAAACAGTATAGGGTTCACTATAAGATGAAGCAGATACCGTAAGGTATTAAATCACTATAGTATGGTAATGTATGGTAATGTATGGTATAATCCCAATCCATCCATGGGTGCCTGAAGAATTTGGGAGGCGCAACTGGCCGGCGCCTTGGATGTGGCTTCCAGTGCGGCGGAGACTTTGTCAGGCCAAGCTGAGTCAGTTGTTTGGAGATTTCTTAACTGGACTGGGAGGAGCGTGTCCTCCAGCAACAGAACCAGAAATCACAACGATTTTGGTTGGAACTATGGGCAGCGTTTGAGTTTGATTCCCTAGCAACGGTTGAAAGCAACCAGTCATCCCCAGGTGCTATGATAGAACATGATTTAACCATGACTATATTGTGCTTACATATATATATATATATATTCCGATTCACTCGCTATGCGGCATGGTGGTCTCTCCTATAGGGATGGTCATCCATCACGAAACATTGAGAAAAACGATGAATCCTGGATGACCATAGGCCCTTCCTGTTTGTTGCTTGACCATGACGAACATGAACATCTTGCTGTATATTCCACTGTTTCCCATGAAAATTGCCTATTTTAGTTTACAAAACATTGAAACATTGAGCCATTTAACCAGCATTGGGATTTTCCCATGGGAAATTGGCCTATTTGAGTTGGTTAAATCCCGATCTAAATCCTATGCTATCTCCAGTATAGCATAACAACCTCCAAAGTTGGTTTACCAGAATTGCCATTACAATCCATTATCATATTATTATTATTACTACTATTATTATTATCATCATTATTACTATTATTATTATTATATATATATAGTTATTATTACTATTACTATTGTTGTTATTATTATGCTGATGTGACACGCCCCCACCATAACATTTAAAGCAGTTGCATGTTCATACATGTGCAGTTGTTTCATTTTGCGGCTGTCCGTAGCTGCTTTTCCCGAAAGCTCTCAAGAGAGCATCCAAGCCCAAAGACCAGAAGGGCATCCGATCGCTGTGAAAGAAGCGAAGCAGCGCCGAGCAGCTTGGTGACGAGGCGAGAACTGGTTGAGGAGGATTGAGAAATAAAGGGGAAAGAATAAAAGGGAATAAAAGAAGAAGATTGGTAGTGGAATAGCCTGGTGAGGATCCAACAGACCTCATCAGGTTATGAGCCCAAGGGGTTCCACCAACTCCAGTAAATGATGTATGGCCGCAGAAGAGCCACCAAAAAGGAGTTAGAACAAGGTGAAAAAGAAATTCAATAAGCCCACGAGAGGCTAGCCAAAGAAATGGAGGAATCAAGTGAGTTGCAGATAGAAGATAAAGGAAATGAGGCCGAAGGTTTCGAGTCCCCCCAAGCGCCCAAAAGGGATGTAGCGAAGGGAAGTGAGGAGATGCCTAAAGGAACCCCAAAGACCTTTGTCCCTGCGCTGCCTGAGTCTGCACCATCTCAGGAAATTTCCGCCACTCAGGAACCCACCGAAAGACCTGAGGCAAAAGCTGAAGTGAGACCTGAGGTGAAAAGCCCAAGATCTTCGACTAAGGGAAAGATGAGTCCTGAAGCCAAAGAGCCTGCTGCCATTGAGGACAACCCCGGTGGCACCAATGTGAACTTGCAGGGCACTTCAAATGGCCCGACACCACAACCTGCGCTGCTTGGTCGTTCCCCTCAGACCGATGCAGTGATCTCCCCAGTGCAACCACTCTTTGATGAACAACAACTTAGGCGATTCCAGGAGTTGTATGCGCAAGCTCCTTGGCTTTACCAACAGGGAGGTCAAATTCCGATGCCTCCACCTCCATTTCAGCATCCAGTTGCGAGACCGCTGTTTCTTGAACAAGATGAAAGAAGGCTTCAAGGTGCTGGAGGTATGGTAGATCAGACCCATTTACATCCATACATGCCGTCAGTGGGTCCTCAAGAAAACATGGAGTTGAAATGGGAATTGAAAGAACTGATGGATGAAAATCGGAAACTGAGAGACCGTGTAGAAGTTTTGGAAAAAGGAAGTGAAGATCCGAAGTTTTCCACGCCCGAAGGCCATTGCAAGGAGGCTGAGACCACCACTAAGGAGGCTGAGACCACCAGAAAGGAGGCTGAGACCACCAGAAGGAGGCTGAGACCAGCACTAAGGAGGCTGAGACCACCAGAAAGGAGGCTGAGACCACCAAAGGTAAGGAGGCTGAGACCACCAAAGGTAAGGAGGCTGATAGACCACCAAAAGAACCCGAAGATAAAAGCACAGTGTTGGTGATGCTCAAACTCATGGAAGGGATGCAAGCTCTTCAAAACAAATGTTGGATGGAAGGGATGACGAAGGAACTTCAGAAGCTGTTCGCCATCGCCAGCACTTCCAGCTCTTGCAGAATGGTCTTCAACGCCAGGGCCTATCGACTTCAACGACTGGATGACACTCATTGAGCCAATGATGAGCTACTTGTCCAACTCTTCAAGCCAATGGCGGCAACTGCTGGTTCAAGAGGCGCATCAATGGTATGAGAGGCACATGCAGCTTCCTCCACTTGAACGAGTTGCACACCTACCAAAACCAACTTCTGACTTGGCCAAGCAAAAATGGGCTAGGTTAGAGAGGAGAGCATCAACTCTGTTGCTGATGGCGGTGCCTGAACCTCAACGAGAAGAACTCATTTCGTCAAAGAGGCGGACAGCACTTTCCATCATATGTCAGCTTCTGGTGATTTACCAACCAGGTGGCCTGGCAGAAAAAGAACTGATCTTGCGGTCCCTTGAAGCACCACCGGAGTCAAACAACCTCAGCGAAGCTGTCCAAAACTTGAGAAGATGGTCCCGGTGGAGGAGACGAGCCGCCGATCTGAGGATCTCAGAGCTCGACCCTTTTTTGTTGCTGAAGGGTCTCAACAGAATCATCCGACGTCCACTGGAACAAAGTCGAGATCTTAGCTTCAGGATCAGCCTTGCTCGGTCCACTTTGCAGGTGGATTCAACGCCGACTTCAACTTCAGTGGCTTCCTTTGCCTTGCGCCTCATCGCTGAATTCGAGCAGGTCGTGCATCAAGAAGCGACCAATGCCCCGAAAAAGAAGGTTGAGGAGAAGCCGAAAGCTGCGAAACTGAAAAAGCTTGAGGAGGAAAAGTCCCCCACAAAGAAGGAGGATGCGAAAGAAGAAAGAGGAAAATGCAAGTTCTACCTGAGTGACACTGGCTGTCGCCGTGGAAAAGGTTGCCAGTGGTCGCATGACCAAAAAGATGAAAAAAGGAGATGCTGGACTTGTGGCAGTCCAGAACATATGGCTCCGTCTTGCACAAGACCCAAAGGGCCTGGCGACACCTCTCCTACCAGGTTGAAAGCACAAAGAGCCGAGGGGGAGGAGTCATCGCCTTCAAGTTCCAAAGGTAAAGAAGAAGAAGGAAGTCAGGAGCAACAAGCATCAATGAAAGACCTACTTGAGCAAGCGAACAAGATGCTGAAGAACCTGACCTCTGCAACAACGACCTCATCTACAACATCTTCGGCCGGAAGTGAAGCCAGGGATGAAATTGTAGACAGGCTGCAACAGCAGCTCAACTCTCTCAAGCTGAAGGTCTTCAAGCTCAGCAAGGTGCCCTACGGCAACTCTCAAGGGCTGGTGGATTCAGGTGCAACACATGCCTTGCGTCCAATGAGGCATGGAGAATCGCTGGAATCATACAAAAAGGTGCCGGTGACGTTGGCCAATGGGCAGTCCACCCAGCTACACATGACACCTGGAGGAGTGATGGTTTCAAAGAGGCCAGACATCGAGCCAATCATCCCGATAGGTTTGCTCATCCAAAGATTGGGCTGCAAGATCAACTGGGGTGAAGGAGGTGTTTTTCTCCAACATCCAAAGCGCGGCACTTTGCCGATCCAACTCAGCAAAGGATTTCCTCAGCTATCACGACCTCTGACCTTAGACCTGATTGAGGAGTTGGAGAACGCAGTTGTTTTGGGGAAGTTAGAAGAAAGAAGTTTCAAAGAAGAGGTGGAGTGGACGCAGATGTTGGTAGAAGATCATCCAGTTCTACGACAACTTCCTCAGCACATCAAAACGAAGCTGGCAGTGCAGCCAGGTTCATGGTCGGACCTTCCTGCAAATCGCAGGACTCGAAAGCGAATGCAAAGAGATGGATTCATTGCCCACTTGTTCGCCGGTGAGGATACAGGCTTCACACTGGCTCGTGCGTGGCATCAGCAGGGTGGGAATGGCCACTCACTTTTGGAGGTCGACATCAAGAGAAGCCCAAATCCAGCTCTGATGAGAGCAGCCCTGGAAGGCAAACTTTTGGCTGTGGTCGGTGGTCCAAACTGCAGAAGCCGACGTGTCTTGAGGCACTACCCAATTCCCGACCAGCCAAACTGTCCACGTCCACTACGAGAATGGGGAGGTGGTGAATTTGGAAAAGAAGGGTTGACTGAAGCTGAAATCGCAATCCTTCACGAAGATGATCTACTACTATGGCGAATGGTTTTCCTGACCATGGTCTCCAACTACATCAAAGAAGCTCGAGGAGATTCCACTCAGATTGCCTTTGCGATGGAGCAGCCGGCATCACCGAAAGACTACATGCCGGAGACCGTCTCGTTTTGGGACACAAAGGAATGGGCTTCACTCAAAAAGGAATTTGGTTGGGAAGAAACGACTTTTAAAGAAGGAGCCATGGGAGGAGCAGCCACCAAACCCACAACTATTGGTGGAAACTTGAACCTCGAGATCAACAAGCACAAGAAGTTCAAAGAAGGAAAGGAAAAGGGGGAGATCAGAACGTCAAAGGATGTCTCTCGATGGGCACCTGGTGTGATGTCCATGGTTACCGAGGCATTGATGTTGCAGGTCACGCAGCAACATCCCAAACTTCGACCGCTGAGCTGGGAGGAGCACATTGCTCATGGGCATACGCCATACAGGCGTGATTGTGCCGTATGCCAACAAACTATGCAGCAGTGCAATCCACATCGAAAAGTTCCATACCCAGTTGGAGGAGTGTTGGCCTTGGATGTTGCAGGACCTCTCATTCCTGCCAAAGATGTTGGAGGACTCTACAAAAGATGGATGCTAGTGGGCACCTTGACATGGGCTGTCCCTGCAGAGTCCGACAAGCTCAAAGTACCAGAAGTTCCTGATGCCGATGGCGATGAACCTCAAATCGACATCAACCCTGAAGAACAAGATGAAGATCAAAAAGAAAGAGAAGCTTTGAAAGACAAGGAGGATGCAGAAGGTAAGGAAGAAAGTGATGAAGTTCAGGTGAGGGTTTGGGAAGAAGAGGAAGAGGAAAAAGATCCAGCGCTTCCAGGGGGAGGTCCTCCTCTACCACCATACCTTTTGCCTCCCCCTGAGAAGAAAGAAGGGGATCCAGATCTTCAGCCTGGTGGATTCGACACCAAAATCTTCCGCCTTGTCGCTCCAATGCAAACAAAGACCGCGAGAGAAGTCATAAAGACTGCCATGGAGTTTCTGCTGAAGCTCAAAATGGATGGATTCCACGTTGGAAGAATCCACACTGATCGAGGCCACGAATTTTCAGGGCCATTCAAAAAGTGGGCGTTGGATCTCGGCATCATGCTCACAAGAGCACCAGGAGATGACCCAAGGGCCAGTGGTCGGGTCGAAGTAGCAGTGAAGAGCTTCAAAACGCACATTCGTCGGCTGCTCAAGCAAGCTGAAGTTGGAAGCGAGATGTGGCCCCTTGCAGCTCGCTATGCCGACGCCCTCAATAGAAGTTGGACGATTGGTGAAGCTCCAGCTTTTCCACCCTTCCTGCAGGAGATTTTGGTGCGACGACGCGCTTGGCGCCGTGGGGTCTTCGAACCAACTGTGGAGAAGGTCAAATACTTGTTCCCAGCGCCTGAAGAACATGGTCATTGTGTGCAACCGGATGATGAGCGACCAAGGGCCACAAAGTATGTCATGAGAAAGGCTACAGAACCCATCACCAATCAGAAGTGGGTTGCTATCGAGAAGGAGGTTGCGGATGCCCTGGCAACAAGAAGGCGTTTGAGGGAGAAAACAACAGTAAGAAAGATGGAATTTGAGGAGAAAAAGACAGAAGAAAAAGATGAAGAAGAGGATGAAGAAAAGTTTCAAAAGCTGAAGTTGAGATTGAACAGAATCATCGAAGAGGAGATGAAGCTCATGGTTGAAGACCACCCAGAACTTGCGAAGGATGAGCTGGCGTGGATGACAAAAATGAAGAAAATGATGGAGGAGCCTACAGAGGAGGACGAAATCCTTCAAACAAGGGTGATTGCAACGAGAGAAGTTGCCCAACACTGGAGTGAATGGCTGTCTGCCATTGAAGAAGAAGTTCAAAGTCTGTTAGAAGAAAAGCAGGCGATGAAGAAGTCACAAAGAAAGATCTTGAGGAGCTACAAAAGAAAGCTTCAGCCGAAGGTCGAAACGTGGAGGTCATTCCGTCAAAGCTGGTCTTCACAGTCAAAGCTGGTCCAAATGGGGGCCGGAAAAAGACCCGATGGGTTATCCGCGGAAACTATGAGGCCAAAAAGGATTCTGAGCAGAACTTGTCCAGCGGTGCGGACTCAGCTGCCTTCAGAATTGCAGTTTGGGCAGCGGCCCGGCACCAATGGCAAGCAGCTGTCTTGGATATCAAAACGGCCTTCCTGAATGCGGTGATGGAACAAGGAGATCAAGAAGACATCTTGGTCGGCAGACCACCTGCGCTCTTCACTGAAAAGGGCTACATGGCCAGGGACGTCTTTTTCCTGCCCACGAAGGCTGTCTACGGTCTTCGAAGATCACCACGCCTTTGGGGAAATTGCCGTGATGAAACGATGGAAGATTTGGAAGTTCAAGCTGAAACAGAAGAAAAGAAGGAGAGGAGTTTTCATCTACTACCTCTTCAAGCAGAGCCAAATCTTTGGAGGGTGTTGGAAAGGGGAGATGAAACACAAAAGGTATGGGGTCTTGTGATGACCTACGTGGATGACATCTTCATCTGCTCCTCTTCCACCGTCCTCGAAGCCCTCAAAAGAAAGTTTCAGGAGACTTGGATGACACCCAAGCCGGAACACGTTTCTGGGGAGCCAATTCGCTTTCTGGGAATGGAAGTTTCAAAAAGAGCTGAAGAAGGAGGAAAAGAAGTATGGTATGTGACCCAGAAGTCATATATCAAAGACATGGTTGAAAAGAGCGAAGAGAAGGTGAAAGAAAGAAAAATCCCGGTCACACGTGACCAAGCCCACATCGAAGAGCCAAGCTCACCTCCAACGATTGACCAAGTACGGGGAGCTCAAAAGTGCATTGGAGAAGTTTTGTGGCTTCTCACCAGGTCACGCCCAGACCTCATGTACGGCGTGGGCAGGATGGGGTCCAACGTCCTCAGAAACCGCGTCAAGGTCATGGAGCTTGGAGAACTGATGAAAGGATATTTGAATAGAACAGCAGAAGAAGGACTTCGCTATGAGGTGGAGTTCAACGAAGAAATCAACCTGCAGGCATACTCTGATGCCTCATTGTCCCCAGAAGGAGCTGAAAGCCATGGAAGTTTTCTGATTCTGCTGGAAGGATCCCCAATCTTCTGGCGCGCAGGCCGACAGAGCATGGTGACGCTGTCGACGGCCGAATCAGAAATGACAGAAGTCATTGAAGCGATGACAGCTGGTGAATCAGTGGCTGTCATTGTCCAGGAGCTCTACCCTTTGGTCACCAAGACCGCCTACACCGACAGTCAGGCGGCCGAAGCCATCCTCAACTGCGACGGTGGCAGCTGGAGAACCAGGCATTTGCGCCTGCGCTCCGCATTTGCCCGCCAATCAATTGCCAAGGGCGAATGGGCACTTCAACATGTGCCAGGTGATCAGATGCTGGCAGATCTTGGAACCAAAGCACTGAATGCGCCAAGACTTGAAAAGTTGAAAGGGCTCATGAGTATGGGCACCATCAAAGAAGAAGAAAAGGAGGATGAGATTAAAGAAAGAAAAGATGAGGAGAAAGAAGGAAAAGAAACAGTGAACTGGGCAGAAGCAGCCCAAGCAGTCAGACTCATCACAATGGCTGCTGCGATTTCAACGGCGAAGGCAGTTGAAGAAGAGGAGAAAAAGGATGGAGAAGGTTTCACATTTGAAGGGATGGTCGTTTGCTACACCGTCTTCGTGGTTTTGGCCACGCTTCTTGCCAAGCGGATCTGGATGGTAGGAGTACATCTTGTGAGGACCATCGCTCAAAGGCGTCCTGTCCTCCAAGGAGGAAGTCTCCCTGGAAAAGCTGCGCGAGAAGAAAGGAAGGAAGAAAAGAAAGAAGGAAAGAGAGGAGGAAAGAGAGGAGGAAAGACTATGGAAGGTAGTTTAGTTTCCAGCCATGGCGAGTGCTCCACATCCTCTTTATCTTCATCCACCTCTATGTCTTCATTTGCTGCTCCGCTGCCAAAAGTGATGCCAGTTCAAAAAGGGGCTCCGCGACCAAAAGGGGCTCCAAAAGTGAAACGTTTACCAAAAAGGGGTCATCAATCAAGCGAGATCCCAACACCAAGGGTTCAACAGCCAAAAGCTTCATCATCAAGCCACATGCCCACCGTGGAGGAGGACATCTTTGGAAGCTGGGATGAAATTGAACGTGAAGAGAGATTGATTAGAAGAGCTGCATGCTGTACGTCCTGGAGACCCCATTTTGGGTTCAATTGACCAACTGCCGGACGATGAATTTCCAGAACTGCCATGCAAAGTTTTTACAACGAGGTATGGGGAAGTGTATCATGTGAGCCGCAGCTGCCGTCATCTGACCTCGCCAAACACTGGAGCTTCAATGGAATCAAAATGGTGCAGTCGATGCAGACGCTCTGCATATCAATCTGGCTCAGTTCCGACGAAAGGCGATGTGCTGTATCTGAAAGGAGCTGGGCGCGATGCCCACACAATTCTGAGATGCCCTGCCGCCTTAGGTTCTGGTCACTATCAAGTTTGCACGGCATGCCTAGAACTGCCGATTTAAAGCAGCTTGAGCTGACCAAATTCAAATGAAATCTCCAAGCGAAGATTTCAAGGGGGAGTGCTGATGTGACATGCCCCCCACCATAACATTTAAAGCAGTTGCATGTTCATACATGTGCAGTTGTTTCATTTTGCGGCTGTCCGTAGCTGCTTTTCCCAAAAGCTCTCAAGAGAGCATCCAAGCCCAGAGACCAGAAGGGCATCCGATCGCTGTGAAAGAAGCGAAGCAGCGCCGAGCAGCTTGGTGACGAGGCGAGAACTGGTTGAGGAGGATTGAGAAACAAAGGGGAAAGAATAAAAGGGAATAAAAGAAGAAGATTGGTAGTGGAATAGCCTGGTGAGGATCCAACAGTCCTCATCAATTTTCATTATTACTATTAATACTAATATTAATATTAATATAATAATCATATGTATATATATATATCATATAACATCATATCATATCATATCATCATATCAAGATATTCCCATGGAATCACTATGATATCTCCTTGGTTTTCCCATCGGAAAAGATGCTTCTTTGAGCCCCGCAGGCGATCTCTTCGGGGCGCTGGGCGCGGGCTTCATGTCAGGCGCCAACGAGGCGCCGTGCGGAGCTGCAGAGCTGCGGCCCGTGCTCGGGCATAGAATGGGGATATACATGGATCTACCATTATATTCCATTCTATCCCATGAATGGTCATGAAATCATATTCCATAAATATTGGAATCAAATGGAATTATAGTCATTATATGTCAAGAATCATGGGGATACCCCTATGGCTATGGATAGTTTAAACCGGGAAAATCATCTGGTGGGGAATTGTCCAGCACGCCATGTTGGATTACCGTAAATCCTCGAGCGAAAAATGGGCCATGGCTTCTGTAGCTATGTGAAGCTACTAGTATCCAACTAGGATTGATTTAAATCAAGATTACATCATTTGGATGATTTAGCAAATTCAGCTTGAAGGGAATGAATCGGCGGAGGCATCGCAAACCCACGGGACAACAACACAGGAGGTCATAACTAGTGGGTGATGCAGAACAACAAGGATGTGGGCGCGGGTCTAACTTTTAGGGAAAGATAACCACAGACTTTGGTCATTTAAATATTATATATATATATACACTAGGGTGTTGTTCTAACACGCTTTCTTCAGGACTTTCTGTAAGCTTAACTTGGAGTTTTTATACTCTTAACTTTTAGTTTCTATACCCTTAACTTTTAGTTTTTATACCCTTAACTTTTGACTTTCTGTACCCTTCACTTGGAGTTTTTATACCCTTAACTTTTAGTTTTTATACCCTTAACTTTTGACTTTCTGTACCCTTAACTTGGACTTTTTATACCCTTAACTTTTGACTTTCTGTACCCTTAACTTTTAGGTTTATACCCTTAACTTTTAGTTTTTATACCCTTAACTTTTAGTTTTTATACCCTTAACTTTTAGTTTTTATACCCTTAATTTTTAGTTTTTATACCCTTAACTTTTAGTTTTTATACCCTTAACTTTTAGTTTTTATACCCTTAATTTTTAGCTTTTATACCCTTAACTTTTAGTTTTTATACCCTTAATTTTTAGTTTTAACTTTTGACTTTCTGTACCCTTAACTTGGAGTTTTTATACCCTTAACTTTTAGTTTTTATACCCTTAACTTTTAGTTTTTATACCCTTAACTTTTATTTTTTATACCCTTAACTTTTAGTTTTTATACCCTTAACTTTTGACTTTCTGTACCCTTAACTTTTAGGTTTTATACCCTTAACTTTTAGTTTTTATACCCTTAGCTTTTGACTTTCTGTACCCTTAACTTGGAGTTTTTATACCCTTAACTTTTGACTTTCTGTACCCTTAACTTGGACTTTTTATACCCTTAACTTTTGACTTTCTGTACCCTTAACTTGGACTTTATGTACCCTTAACTGAATCATTTTGGATCAAGCACCGAGGTCACCAATGTCAATGAAAAATGCAACAGCCATTCTGGTAAAATCATTGAGCTCAGAAAAGCGCTTTCAATGACTCAAATTTTGCATTTTTCTGGGTCTCAAATTTGACAGTTTTCTGGGCCCCAAATTGGCTCGAAACCCGGCCCCGGGACCCTTACTTTGTGTCAGCTTAACTGGCCAGACTTAAGCTCCAAAAAGCTCCAAAAGTTAAGGGTATAAAAATTCTATTCTGCTGCAAAAAGGAGTTTCTGTACCCTTACTTTGTGTCAGCTCAACTGGCCA